GGGTCAATTCAGTCATTCCGATAATACCGTTCATAGGTGTTCTGATGCAAGCAATCAGTAAATGTTCTGGGAATTTCGAGGGAAAATATTCACCTAATTTCGTGACTCATATTAGCCAAGAACTCGCTCTTGCTCCTATTGGCAAGCTCAGCCGCTTCCCTGGCGGCCGTATTTCTTTGTAGAGATTCTCGAAGATTGAATACCATTTGATTGATTTGAGTCTTGAGCGAGTCCATCTCTCCGGATGCCTCCACAGTAATGAAGCGAGTAAAGTCACCATCAGTCGCCGCTGCTGAGATCTGAGCGAATCCTCGGACTTGAGATGTGAGGTTGGCAGCCATAGTGTTGACAGACATACTACCGACGCAAGGTTAGCAAGTCATGAGTCGGATCAGTATCAAACTTACGTGATGCTCTGCCATGTTCCTTTTACGTTGGCGACTTCGGCTTGCACACCTAGCTTGCCTTCGGTTCCGACTTCTCGAGCTACTCGTGTGACCTCTTGGGCAAAGATACCAAGTTGGAAGATCATCGTGTTGATGGTGTTAACCAAGTCTAGCATTTCTCCGGATACTTGAAGACCTTCGACCTTCTTTCCAAGATCTCCTGCGGCGACAGCTCTGGTGGACTCTGCAATTGCTCGGACTTGTTGGGTCAACTGTTACGGGCACAATTAGTTCCAATCTACCATGAATACGAAATGAAGAAGGAAACTCACGTTGGAGGCCATAGTGTTTACATTGTCCGTCAAGTCCTTCCAAATACCACCAACGTTATCGACACTAGCTTGCCCTCCGAGAATACCATCCGTTCCGACTTCTTTGGCGACACGAGTGACTTCAGCCGCAAAGACGGCAAGACTGCTCGTCATAGAATTGACGGTTTCCTTAAGCGCTAGAATTTCACCTCTGACGTCGACTTCGATCTTCTTCGTGAGGTCTCCACGTGCCACGGCCGTAGTCACAGCTGCGATCGAACGCACTTGGGTAGTAAGGTTTAGAGCCTGGGAATCGAAATTGAGAATCTAGATAATTGACTCTGAGAGATGCCATACCATCAAGTTGACATTGTCCGTCAAGACTTTCCACATTCCCTTCACACCTGGCACGACCGCTTGTCCACCAAGGATACCCTCTGTACCGACTTCGAGAGACACGCGAGTGACTTCATTGGCAAGAACGAGCAATCTTGTAACCTAGAGAAAGTAAGTCAATAACCCGGTCCCATTGGTGGATGAGCGTAGATCTTGAACACACCATAGTGTTGACAGTATTCTTCAAATCCAACATTTCACCTCTAACATCGACCATGACCTTCTTGCTGAGATCTCCGTTTGCGACGGCAGTGGTGACTTCGGCGATGGATCGCACTTGATTAGTAAGATTCCTTGCCATGTTCTAAAAGGCAATCAAAATTGGTGAATATCAAATCAGAACTCGGTAAATGGACATACGTTGACGTTAGTTGTAAGATCTGCCCAGACACCTTGTACACCTTCGACTGTGGCTTGTCCTCCGAGAATACCCTCAGTACCGACTTCAAGGGCGACACGCGTGACTTCGGCAGCAAAGGTTCGAAGTTGAGAAACCATAGAGTTGACAGTATCCTATATACGGTGATGAGTGTCACACAATATCGTACTCGTTATCAAGGAGATTTACCTTGAGTGTAGCCAATTCTCCTTCGACTTCGATCTCGACACGTTTACTCAAGTCACCCTTAGCTACGGCGGTCGTGACCTCGGCGATGGAGCGGACTTGATTTGTAAGATTATAGCACATGCGGTTGACCTATGATAATTGGAGCGAACATTAGCATTATGCTTGGCAAAAGAGAGAATTCAAAGGTTTGTACTGACATTGATTGTAAGATCAGCCCAGACTCCTTCTACATCTTCCACAAAGGCACTTCCTCCCAATTTACCTTGAGATCCTACTTCGAGTGTGACACGGGTAACCTCTTTAGCAAGTGTGCGGAGTCGGAAAACCATTTGGTTTACGGTGTTCTACCGGGTGGCGCATCAGATTAACGGTCCGACCCAAAAGTGGAGCCGCAGAGAAAACGAAGGAGTGGAGAAAAGAGAAGAATTGAACAACTCACCTTGAGAGCCAAAATTTCGCCTTTCGCCTCTACTTCAATTGTCTGACTGAGATCACCCCTGGCTACGGCGGTCGTCACGATAGCGATACTCCTGACCTGAGTGGAGAGGTTTGCCGCGAGTCGATTGACAACGTCCGTGAGTTCCTGCCAGGTACCCTGTACTCCAATGACCACGGCCTGACCTCCCAACCGTCCTTCCGTTCCGACTTCGAGTGAAACACGAGTAACTTCCTTTGCGAATTGACCGAGTTTGTCGACCATGGAGTTGATGACATCTTTCAATTGGACCATCACAGGGCCCTGCACGCCCACTTCGATCTTCTGTGTGAGGTCACCGTCGGCTACGGCTTTGCATACTCTTGCAACGTCCTGAACTTGAGCTTTGAGTAACCTGAGTTCTTCTACCGCACTGAGCCCACTTTCGAACGCAGCTGCGCTGAGCGGACCGGGTGGTACGACGAGTGGACTGTCGTTGGGGCTCGGAATGAAACCAGTGGGATGATTAAGATTTCCAATCGTGGTCGAGCTCGGTCCCTTGTTCAAGGGACGACGACAAGTAGGGCATGGGTAGTTGGAGATTGAGGGAGAAGTGGGTGAACGACTGCTGTTGGGGTCTGCTTTGGGCGCGTTATTGTTTATGCCGTGAAGGGAGATTTGCATGGGCGAGGGTGCTCTCGCATGCCTCACTATGCCCTCTGCCATTGCTGCAGCATCATCAGAAGGTGTTAAATTAGCATCTCGTACAGGAGTGGGGGCTTGTAGAGCAATGGTGAAAGGGTCAATCTCTTTGTCCTTGCTCGCGAGTCCATTATCCGTGGGTGTAGTCTCATCTGAATCATAGGGAAACCCGTAAACCGTGTTTATAGGTAACCAAGGATGAGACCAGCCCAATTTCTCTTCAGCATTCCTCATTCTGGAGGCGATGATGCCCAGACTCTTCTCGATGGCATCTGTCTGCGCAGAGCGCGGTCCACCGTAGCGGGGGAGAGGGATCCCAGGAGTACGTCCTAGGGCATGTCCGGTTGTGGGATTGTTGTTAATAGAGGGGGGAAGTTCGTAAACCGATAGGAGGGCGACTAGATGGGTTAGGAAAGGATGAGCGGCCAACTCTTCGACGCTCGCCATTATGAA